TTTTGTTGAAATCGGTTGAAAAATGTAGGAAATCCGATTCAATATATAAACGAACAGACACACACACACACACACACACACAACCTGGGATTTATAATAAGTATGATATATGCAGATTATAGCATGGTTTATGGGTGCACTTCCAAAAATCTACATGATCAGAGCTTAGCAGTTGATCTCTTCCCTGTACTGCTCCAGAAAATACCTGACATTTGCATTATATTCAAATGTAGTACTAGTTTGATTTTTATATACAGTAGGGGTTTCTGCTATAGCTAAAATATTTTTGTAATGTTATGTAATATTACTCTAAACATTAGATGCTTAAATTGAATCATATCACTTCATGTCCTCCATAAGTTGCCTGACTTTTCAGTTAACTTGAATATTTATGAGTGTTCATATACCTAAAAATTTTTAAAACAAATAACATTTTGGTCTTATATACAGATACTTGTTATAAAAGAAAATCTGACTTGATAAAATCTCACAGAGGATGAAATGTGGCGTCTAGGATAAGTTTTCATTTTTTCTTTATTCTTGATTAAATACACTAAAAACTTTTCCTTGAATATGTTCTGCTGAAATTGGGGTGTGCCTAAAATGACAGTGCATCTTTTGTATCATCAAAAACAGTAAAATCATTTTTCTGTAATTATTGGGGTGTATCAAAAGTGTTTTTGTTTTGTTTCAATCAAGGGGAACTTCTCAAGAGCTCCTGTATGTGTTTTTAAGCTTATGTAATTTTCTCCATATGGTGTCTTTCTATGATCCTAGCTCTTCTGAGTTTTATTTTCAGGAACAAGTTTCCACTCTTAAAATGCTTAAATTATTTTGGAGTAGTATGGTCAGATATTGTTTCCATTCCTTCCAATTCCTGAATTCTGCAAACAGCTTTAACAATATTGAGACCCAGTTTAAAGGACAACATAGTCAGAATTCCAATCCACCATTGTAACAAACATCTGAAACAAAAGATACAGCGGAATGGTATCAATAATGATATGAAATTTATAATAAAAGTATTGATAATATAATAGTGTAGGGATTATCTCCCTTTGGTTAAGACAAAGCCATGAGGGTTATGTGACTGCTGGTGAGTGATGTCAGTTTATAGAGAGCCCATGCAAGCTTGCTATTTTTTTTTCTTTTTGGACAGATTCTTTAAAGAAGAAATAAGAGAATATCCTTTCATAGTGGTTTTAGTCATGTCTAGTAATGATAATGTCAGTTGTATACAACTGCTTTCTCAGATCAATGGCTAAAAATGGATTAGAGTGAATGAAGACTGTAGGTTTTAGCAAGGATCATCCTTCTTTGAATCTTGTGGACTGGTGCTATAGAATCACAGACAGACAACTGTAAAAAATAACAGATACCATATTACTCGTCTGTTTTCAACAGCAACAACAACTAAAATAGATACCACATGTAACTTGAAGAAAAAATAATGATATAATCACGATTTTGACAGGGAAAAGTTCTCAACGTTGAAGATAGAGTACTTATAGATATAGAAAGTGGGGAAATAAGAATCAATGCAAAATGTTGACTGTCAGTTTCAGGTTTTAAGGGTTCATCAGATCATCTACAAATACTCTATCTCTTAGTATATATCTTTGCCCATAAAAATAGAAAATTTTAACATATATATATATATATGGAAAATAAAGCATAATATTTTTAAAAAAAAATCCACATTACAACCAAAAACGTTTGCAGTCTCTCTCTTTTTTTAATATGCACACTTTTCTCTCATTGGAACTACTATAACCTCTTCCTTTTATATATATATATGGACAAATTTATAGTCCTTATTTTTTTCCCAACTGTCATTTTTAAACCAATTTGTCTTTATTTTCAGAATTATTTCTGGGAAATTTAAAAAAAACCAACCAAACAAACAAACACACACACACACGCACACACACACATATTTTTAGATTGAGTGTATCTGGAGAAGAGACAAAATGAATGAAAAGAGACAGGTGGAAAAACTATATTTAGCTGACATGTTTCATCATCTGACATTGCCTTGATAAAGTCCCCCAGAGGATAAATGAGTTGACTAAGTATAGTTTTCCTCTTATCTCTTTTTATTCACACACACACACACACACATATATATATATATAAGGTGTATTTAGGCAGCAAGAATTATTTTAAAGCAGTTTTGTTGAACAACATCAACAGGGTCTCTCTGTCCAATTTTTGATTAAGTTTTTCCAACTTCTGACTAAGTTGTTTTGTTTTCAGAATTAAAATGGGTAAACTTTTCAAAGTTCATTTTTTTAAAAAACTGAATACTACAATCTGTCACTACAATCATTATTAAGAATTCCATGTTTAGTCTGTTTAGGAAGCAGCATTTAATTAATTTCAGCTGTCTCTCATTTAATAGAACCAATTTCAACTTACTTAATCAAACTGAATTTTTACATGATTTTGTTTTTATATATTTTTTTTATTCATTTCACCCCAAGCAAGACAATAAAGCCACAAAGATGCAAAGTCTTACTGAATGTTAGTGAGTATAAGAAACAAAAACATACTAATAAGGAGAGGGAACAATAAAATAACAAAAGTCAAGAAGTCAGAAGATAATGATTGATATTGCATTTAAATTTTTGAAGATCAAAATTGACTTCAGTAAGTGATCTCCTATGTTTGATCAATATATATATATATATATATATATATATATATATATATATATATATATATATATATATATACCTCTCCCATCAAATTTGACATATGAGGGTCAAGCCGAACAGTTCCTAGGAACCGACAGCTCGACACCAGCACATGAGATTTGATTATAGTGGTAAAGACTTTGTGCAGAACCATCCACACTTTTTGAAGGGCCAAATACAGAGACCTGGTGCACTATGTGCCACAAGGTCCCCAAACAATCCTTCACAGGTTTTGAATTCAGAGCTGTTTTTCTCCTAGACCAGTTGCCATCCAAGGCTATAGAACCCAGTCTGTCCTGCTATTTTACCCATAGCTGGAGGGAGAAGAAGAGGATTAATACCTTTCCCAAGGGTATTAGCATGTAAGGAATATGAACTTAGTTCTCCAATTCCTCAAATCGAGCCACTATCCATTACTCCACCGTGCCTTTGTATATATATATATATATATATATATATATATATATTTAGTTGGATTGATGTGAGTTTGTGACCCTGGGTTTCACACTTTTGTTATCGTCAGACAAACTGATTAATTTTTAGATTTTGGATTTATATAGGGTCGCGTATATCGGTGTTTTTATAGAAGTGGGACGAAAAATTGTTGTCGAGATGCCACTCATACTTACGCGAACATGCATACATGCCCATACACACATTGATGTACACAGGCACACACACACACATGCTCACTCACTGGAGCTTACACAAACATAAACATATATGAACAGTATGGGACTGGGTATATATAAGCATATATGTGTTGATGCGTACATGCATATGCATTTGGTTGCTGTATTCAATGTTTGATTGTGTAGCGAATATTTTTTGTTTGTTGCGCTGTCAACGCGCAGACCATATTTCTATTTTTGTTCGGTAAATACTATTTACTCGCACGCACATATATACATATGATGGGGTCTGTGTAAGACTATGATAGGTAAAAATTGCTATTATTTTTAATTTTTTAAGGCTGTTTTGTTATTATTTTAAAGCCAGTTATTTGCTTGTTTTTGTCTATTGTGCAAATTTAAATGGTAGAAATTCCAATTTGTAATACTTATTAGTATTTATGCAGTGGTATTAATTTTGCTGGGGGAGAGAGAAGTAATTATAATTGTCGGCTGATATGGTAATGGTAATTGTGGACTAATGCAGCAATGGTAATTGTGATGTGGTAGAAATGGTGAGGGGGAGAGGGTGATGATGATAACAATTGTAGCAGCAAATAGTTATTGTAAAGTGGTAGAAGTGATCATAATAATGATGGTGGAATGATAATAACAATAATTGTAATTATTATGATGGTAGTTTAAACAAAAAAAATAATTGATGGTGTTATGGTGTCAGTGGTTTCTCTTTTCAGGTTTATTGGGTCAATGGTGATTTATGTAGTAATGCTTGTTGGTATTTTTCCATTTGGCATAAATTCTGATAATAGGTAATTATTTTCATGCCTGCATTTGGAAATTATTTCTGATCTTATATTTAGGAAATTCTTTTGTTGGGTATGAGAAATTATAGCTACCTTTTCATGTAGGAAAAGTAGGCATTGCTTTTGTAATGTTGTTGTAGGCAGGTGCTTTTTTCAATATTTTCCAGCTTATTCTTGTTGTAATATTTCTGTCTTTTAGATGCCATATGTATGTGGATAGCGTAGTGCTGTTTGAGTATTTTCTGTTGGATATATATATATATATATATATATATATATATATATATATATATATATATAAAAATAATGACAAAGTGAAAAATAAATTTTGTATAATCTTTGTCATTGATTTTCCTAACATTTTCTGGTATATAAAAATTGATATATTATATTCTCCTAGTCTAGAATTAGCTATCTTTTCTGTTATCTTGCCCTTTCTTATGCTAATACAACTCTACACAGTAGCCTTCAACCTTGATTGGCTCTTGGGCCTTGTATTGGGTGAACATTAGTAAAAACAAAAGGTTGATATGTTGGTAAACAAAATCAACCAACTAACCATATTCTATTATATATATATATTAAAACACGTAAATTTCAGAAATACGTTATTCCAAAAAAAATTTTGCTTGAAGATGGAACAGAGCTTACTTTAACTCAATTTAATTCAAATAATTATATTGAAGTTTTCGACTCTTGTTTTGAAACATGAGACCTCTTATGTCGCGAGTTGGAATCATATTTTTAGATTTTATATATATATATATATATATATATATATATATATATATGTGTGTGTGTGTGTGTGTGTGTGTGTGTGTGTGATGAAATTATTCATCCAACTAAAATATTCTCTCTTTCTTTTGAAGATGAAAGATCCAAATCAAGTAGCAGCTGTCCAATGGAGCTGAAAAATCCTATTCAGGTTGTCAGTAGCAATAACTGGTTGGCAAACGGCCGTGATTTATTTAAGGAAAGAAAACAACAACAGTATTTGAAGCGTTTCACTGATTTGCCCAGTTGGAAAGAAAAAATGAACTCACTACAAAAGCCTGAGAAATCACTTAAGATCAAAGGGCAATGTCCAACGACTGCTTTCAGGATAACAAGGCCAAAATCTGAAACCAGCACTTCAAATATACATGAAGAAAAGTAAGTTGAGATGCTTTCTTTTTATAGTAAATTTCTTCTGTGTGCGGCCAAGGCCCTCCACAACATAGCTCAAAGCAAAGTTTGTCTCCTTAATATCCCTCCCAATCAATGTTTTGTCAGCCATTTACCTGAACGTGGTAGGTTGGCTATTCACTGTTTTCCTCTGCTCTTCTTGCCTTCATTATGTCTTGTGAGTGTCAAATTTTCCAGGGCCTCTTTCCTCATTGTGTTGTAGATATTTCATCTGTCTTCTTCTGATCTTAAGCAAAAGTGATCTTTTCGTTCTCATTAAAACTTCCGCACTGTTCACATGTTCAGGCCATGGTATTCTCAGTATACTTCTATAGAACTACATCGCCCTTGCCTCAAGTTTCTTTTTGTAGAAAATCCACACAGAAACAAAAAACAAGTAGGTCAGGGACAAATTTCCAAGAAACATCAGCCATGACAGTGTTTGAAGCTCCAAGAATGACTCTCACACCTTTGAATCTTGAGAGGTTTTTTTTATTATATCAGGTTGTCATTGATGGTTCAAAGAACCAACCAATCAGCGCATAACATCTTTTTTTATTCTTCTCGCATGGAACGTTGTCTGCCTTCTACCAGTTTAAGGTACAATATGATTTCTTCTTTTTGTCTGCTGCAAAAAATGCATGCCACCCTGAGTCCCTTCCTCCTCTGTGGTAATTCTTCACTATACCTTTTCATCTGTGAGGAAATTCTCCATATTCAGTGCAATATAGGAGGATTGATATTACATAGTAGTCCAAAGACGGATATGCAAAATGTAAGATGCCAACTATGAATTGAAGATATCAAAATGAACCAAGTACAAAAATTTAAATATCTGAGAGGTGTTCCAACAGGGAATAAAAAATGTGACAAGGGCAAGTTAGAATAATCAAAGTGGCTTTTCAAAAGCTCAGAAAAATATTAAGAAACAGGAAAATTTTTATTGGAAACAAAGAAAAGAATACTAAACTGTTATGTAATATTAGTTCTCCTTTATGGTAGTGAATGTTGGACAATTTCTTCAAAGATGAAGAAGAGACTTGGAGCAACATATATGTGGTTGACAAAAAGATGATGAAAATCTTATGAATGGAACATGTGAGTAACAATGAATCTTTACAGAAAATGGAAGCAAAAAGAAAAATTTGACACTTACAGGAAATATTGAAGGCAAGAGGGACAGAGGAAAGCAGCCAGTAACACATCTCATGAACTTGTGTAGATGGATAGCAAAGCAGGAATTGGGAAAGATAATGAAAAGAAAAACCTTACTAAGAGCTAAAAAGGATAGGAACTTGTGGAGAGCCATGATCTCCCACTTTCCGAAGGAACCCAGCACATAAAAGAAGATTATTTTAAAACAAGAGAAGTTTTGTGTCTATTATATTTTTTTTTATGTTCAAATATCCTTTCACAAATGTGTTTGTTTTGTGTGGATAAATTGGCCAAAATTCATGTTGTGTTGTTCCAAGCTTTTGACTCACATTGGTGTGTGTATAAAAGAAAAGAAAAGTGTGTTTTAAGAAGCAGACTGTATCATTATTTTTTGAATGATTTTTTTTTTAAAACTAAATAAAATGCAGCCTCACACAGTAAGTCATATGATACTAATGTGCAATAATGTGTTTGGAATAGTAAATAACATGTTTTACAATTATACATATATCATTGGTGAAGGGTGAATTTGAAATTGGAGCATACAATTGTTCACTGTTAAGCACATCCTAATAGACTGCAAAAAATACAAAAAAACACACAACAAATACTATGGCATACAAAACTGTAACATGTTTTTCAAAAATGTATCTGTTTCTCAAATAACAGGCTACCTGAAAGAAGTAGGCTGCTTCCAGCATTTATAGAAGAAAGCACAATAGATTTTATTATTGTTGTAGCATACCTACAAACAATAATGGGTATGTCCCCATTCACATAAATATAGTAGTAAATACTGTATGTTGGTCTGCAGCTGGAGATTCATCTCCAGCTGTGCTGGTCAAACTCTCTGAGAGGATCCCCAGACATACACATCTTATACACAAATGTTTACCCAAAGCAGACACTGCACCTCAGTTGAACACTTGTTAAGTACATCCTAACAGACTTAAAAAAATGCACAATGAATACTATGGTTCACAAAACCTTACAATGTTTTTCAAAAATGTATCTGTTTCTCAAATAATAGGCTACTTGAAAGAAGTAGGCTGCTTACAGCAATTATAGAAGAAAGCACAATAGCTTTTATTATCTATAAACTGTATATCTAAAAAAACAAAAACAAAACAAAAAACATATATATATCCTGAAAGTATAAACTTACATACAAAACATCTGTAGTTGAAACCATAAAGTTGTGTACAGTATATTTGGATTTTGGCATTCAGTAACCTATGGAGGTTTCATGTCACTGAACATAATCAACCAACTGTTTTGGAATTAATGACCCATAATGGTTGATATGTTGGTTAAATAATCAATAAATCAATCATGATGACTGTTGATGATTATGACAGAAATAAATAAATTATAAAATCAATAAACAATGGTTTACTTGAAACTTATTTATTTATGAATTAATTTAATTCTCCATTTTGTTTTGGCAAATTCATCGATCACTTTCTTTCAAATCATATCAATGCTCTGTACTACCTTTATCTTCAAAAGGATTTCATTCATTTAAATGAAAACCAACTTACACAATCTATCTTCATGTTGAGAACAAGAAGTAGAGACTCCACTGCTTTGTTTTTTTTTGTTTTTTTTTTTTTAGTTTTTTTTAACTTTTCTTGCTCACTTAGCTTTAACACCTCAATTTTCTTTCACTCGGTTCTTCAATGTTTTCTGTGCCTGTGGCTACAATTGGCATGGGCCTGGTATACAAAAGCAGGGGGTCTTCTATGCTTACCCTACTCTAATGTTCTACTACTAATGTCCCTTGTTCACAATTTATCCTAAGAAATGAAGGCATGGGAAATTTGAAAAATGATCACACAAATGATTACATAAAAATTGTCGATCCTAGAAAAAATCTAATGCATGGATCTTTCACTAGTAATATAGGTGGCCTGACGATTACATCTAGCATGAAACAGACTGTCGCCTCTAACTGTTGAATTCTACGTACACTTTTATATATATATATATATATATATATATATGCTCTAATATGAAGGGCTTTGAGGATCGTGTATTATTAAGCACTGTTTTTCTTTTAGTGTTATGCTCCTTTTCTCTGACCCTCCTGTTTGAAAATACTGTCAAATACTTTCTAGGCATGCTTTTGAATTTTTTGTATTTTTTGGTAGGGGATTTTTCAATATTTTCATTTTGGCCAGATGGGAATTCCCTGCCTTGGCAAGTTTGGTTGTTGTCTGCATAGATATGCACTCATCACCCCCCCCCTTGTTGTAACATTGGGAACTTGCTGAGGGTGTATTAAATTCACATTTTCACAAATAGCAGTTGTTGACTATCTGATGACTGTGTGAAAACACATGAAACTTTTTTTGTTGTGATCAGTTACTGTCCACCAGGAATTTATATATATATATATATATATATATATATATATATATATATAATAACAGAAAGAACATGATAAGATAAGATGGTTAGAACTGTGTAGCGGAAAAAAAACATATTTTAAATCAATTAATTTATAATATATATATATATATATATATATATATATATATATATATATATATATATATATATATATATGTGTGTGTGTATAATGGTGTAATGGCAAAATTGTCCAAATTGTGTAACAGCAAAATTGTCCAATTCTTAGATTAAGCTTTGAACCGTTGTATCTTAGAAATGAAATGATTAAAGATTTCTGTGGTTTTTCTAACACTATTGGACTCTACTTTGAGCAATAAGAATGTATAATTACACTGTAACCATGACAGAAGTATTGTGATTAAATTGATCATAAACAAAAATGATATGCTCATCATTAATTAATCATAGCTAAGGATCAGAAGCTCATGAAGGACTGGAATAAAGTTCATATATATATATATATATTATTCCAGGATCAATTTTCAACTTATTGAAGATAATCACCAGCCTCTCTAACCTTCTAGCTTTCTGTCCTGGAGTAAAAAGGTGCTTCACACTTTTCATGTATGATTTCATTTTCAAGTCTTTTGTTCATTGCTCTTTGGACTGTCATAGCTGAAACTCCTCTCTCACATGCCAAACGTCTTATGGATTGAGTTGGATCTTTTCTAATTGATTTCTTTAGCTTTAAGTTGAAATGATGATCCCTCTTGCTGTTGTGACCTCCCGATCCAGTTTCCCTCTCTACTGTTCCCTCTTTTTTAAACTTATTTACCATTCACTTGATGGTTCTTGAATGGACTTTGAAGGTGGAAGCCAGAGTATGGATTTTGGTGCCATTACTGAAGGCTTGAATTATCTTTTTCCTCTCACCATTGCTCAGTTAGGAAGACAGTGGGACTGACACAAAATGATTTTAACCTGTTCTTTTTCTATTTGAATAACTCAAAGTGTTTTTCAGAGATTCTTACAACAAATGGTGTCAAGATGGCTAAACGTCCTATCTGAAAACCTGGAAAAAAGAAACTCAATTAGTTTTGTGTTTTTTTAGATATTAAACATTTTGTAGGATGGACAGTTATGCTATCACACAATTTAAACAATTTTGCTGTTACACCTGATATATATTAGTTCTAGAATGTTGGGTTTCAAAAAATACATTTTTCTATTGTTATTTTTACATTTTTGTATACTTGCTCAATTCATTTTGTATCTGTATGCAGGCTTTTTATTCTCAGTAAATGTTCTAGATTATTCTAATATCTCCCCGCACAAATAAATCAAGTTTTCCTAGCTGTTTAGTTTAGTTTTAGGCCAGTCTGAACTTTGAATAACTTTAAACAATACAGTAAATTTACCAACTGTGATCTTTGCATTTTATTTAAATGATTTAAAATTGCTATGTCACATGAAATTTGAGACATA